TCGAACCTGCCACCTTAGGTGTACGTGGCTGGCGCCTTAGCCGGTTGAGCTATAGGAGCCAAGCCAGAAGAACACTTTCTAATTCCATCCATATAAACATGAAGGAGGTAAAGTCTCCATCTTTCTTTGGTGCTGCATAATATTCCATGGTGTACATATACCACAATTTATTGACCCATTTATGGGTCAATGAGCATTTGGGCTTCTTCCATGACCAGCAATTATGAATTGGGCTGCAATAAACATTCTGATACAAATATCTTTGTTGTAATTCGACTTTTGGTCTTCTGGATATATATCTAATAAAGGAATTGCAGGATCAAATGGCAGGTCTATTTTTAGTTCTCTGTGTTCTCCAGATGTCTTTCCAAAAGGAACAGAAATGCATTCTTTGTAAAGTATCATAAGAATGGAAAGATGAATATCCAATGTGCTCCATAATAATATGAAATCAATATATAAACAATTACATGCTCCTAAGAACAATAAAACACTAATATAGTGCAGTTTGGGGGTAGAGGAAAGTGGGACGGGGAGGACATATGGCAGAGGGATGGAGGGCATGAGGTGGGATCTCACCTAATCTATACATTGTGAGGGTATGTATCACACACTCCTTGGGTGAGGGCCTCTTCTACAAATGAAACTTCCCTGGAAATGAGAACAATGTATCCTAAATATTGTACCCTCTTATTAATTTGAGCCGGTAGCTCAAAGGAGTAGGGTGCCAGCCCCATATGCCAGAGGTGGCAGGTTCAAACCCAGCCCTGGCCAAAAACTGCAAAAAAAGAAAAGAAAAAGGCCATGGGAGGCCAAGGTGGCTGGATTGCCTGAGTGAGACCCTGTCTCTAAAAATAGGTTGGGCGTTATGGCAGGTGCCTGTAGTCTTAGCTACTCAGGAAGCTGAAGCAAGGGAATTGCTTGAGCCCAAGAGTTTAAGGCTGCTGTGAGCTATGATGTCAGAGCACTCTACTGAGGGTGACAAAGTGAGACTCTCTCAAAATAAGTAGGGCTGGGCACCATGGCTCAGGCCTGTAATCCTAGCACTCTGGGAGACCCAGGCAGGTGGACTGCCCTGAGCTCACAGGTTCAAAACCACCTTGAGCAAAAGAGCAAGATTCCATCTCTAAAAAATAGCCGAGTGTTGTGGCAGGTGCCAGTGGACCCAGCTATTTGGGAGGCTGAGGCAAGATAATTGCTTAAGCCTGAGAATTTAAGGTTGCTGTGAGCTATGATGCCACATCACTCTACCGAGGGTGACAAAGTGAGACTCTGTCTCTAAATAAATAAGTAAATAAGTAAATAGGCTGGGCGCAGTGGCTCATGACTATAATCTTAGCACTCAAGGAGGCTGAGGCAGGTGGATTGCTAGAGCTCAGGAGTTTGAGACCAGCCTGAGCAAGAGTGAGACCCTGTCTCTACTAAAAATGAAAAATTGAGGTTTGGCACCCGTACCTCAGTGAGTAGGGCTCCGGTCACATACTCCAAGGTTGGCAGGTTTGAGCCCCACCCGGGTCCGCTAAGCAACAATGACAACTGTAACATAAAAATAGCTGGGCATTCTGGTGGACGCCTGTAGTCCCACCTACTCGGGAGATTGAGGCATTATTGCTTAAGCCCAAGAGTTTGAGGTTGCTCCTATTAAATGACTGAATGGACGAGTTCGGGGCCTTACTCTGCCATCTTGGTAAACTGCCGCCCATACTGTACCTCAGCTTCCCCAACTGAGCGGCTCAAAGGGTCACATCCACCTAGACAGCCAAGTGTCTGGAAAGAGGTGGGTCTCAGCTTGTCAGCGCAGGGCGAAGTGAGATGGACGGTGCCACTGCGCCCCTCGGGGGAGGCAGGGGCGGGCCAACTCCCCCGCTGCGGCGGCATTGGTCGCGCCAGCAGCCACCCGGCAGTAGTTGCGGAGGTCAGGCACGCCTACTTCCTTTTTCTCTTGGTCTGGGCAGCAGCGGCGGCGGCGGCTTGTGCAGCAATGGTGAGGGCGAGGGAATCGAGCGCCATCCGGGCGCTGTGGGACGCGGGGACTGGAGTGGCGGGGTGAGGGTTGAGCCCCAGGATCCCACTTGTCCGTCCGGCCAGTGGAGCGCTGCGCGGAATGGCCCGGCGCCGCCGTGGCCCTCCCCACCTTCCCTGCTGGGCTTGGGTCAGGAGAGGCGCGCGGGGCCGAGCTGCGTCTTCCCTCTGCTGAGAGAAGGTAGCGTCTTCCCCTGCCTTGTAGCCGACCTGGGCGAGGATGGGCGCCACGGCGAGGGTGGAGGGGAGCCGGCCTCGCAGACTGTTTGACCCACACCCTTTCTCGCTCGCAGGCCAAGATTAAGGCTCGAGACCTTCGCGGCAAGAAGAAGGAGGAGCTCCTGAAACAGTTGGACGATCTCAAGGTGGAGTTGTCCCAGCTCCGTGTCGCCAAAGTGACAGGCGGCGCGGCATCCAAACTCTCCAAGATGTAAGTTAAGGAGGGCGAGATCACGGCCTTTGGGGATTGGGAGCACATGTGCATCGGGAACGTAATTTTTTTTTTTAAGCCAATCTCGATCTGTCACCCTGGGTAAAGTGCTGTGGATTCTTAGCTCACAACCTCCAACTCTTGGGCTCAGAAGATCCTCTTGCCTCAGTTTTTCTAATTTTAGTAGAGACGGGGTCTCGCTTTTACTCAGGCTGGTCTCGAACTCGAGCTGAACCTATCCACCCACGTCGTCCTCCCAGAGTGCTAGGATTACAGGTGTTAGCTACCTCGCGTGACCAAGCCGCGTTGTGGATTTTCGATGTTGGGTTTTAAGGATGCAACATCAGTCCTTTGGTCACGTGGACAAACCTCTATGTACTTACTGCCTTTGACCCTGCATTCCTTAGGCCTGGAGTGTCCTTGCTCAGTTTCTCCGTAGAACACCCCCTGCCCCTTAATGCTGTCTCCAGAAGCCTTACTGGGCCTTTTAGAACTCAGTTGATTTTTTTCCTTCACCTTCCCTTGCTTGGTAGATTGAGAGTGCCTCGCCCCCTTGAGTTGTAGCATAACTTTTGATAAGAACCAAGAGACTTGGGGTAGGAACATGGGTCTGGAGTTAACTCAAGTAGGATTCCACTTCTGGGACAGCCTACCTGTTGACTAGATTGGCTTAGCCTTTGTAGGTTTTTTTCTGAGACAGGGTCTCTGCCATCGAGTCTGTGATGCAGTGGTGTGATCACAACTCACAGGAACATCAAGCTCCTGGGCCTCAGCGTCCTGTGTAGCTGGAACTACAGGTGCACACCACCATGCCCAGCTAATTTTAACTTTTTTTGTAGAGGGTCTTATTACATTGTCCACACTGGTCTCAGAATCCTGTCCTTAAGTGATCCTATTGCCTTAGCCTCAGCAGTGACTAGGGTTTAAGGCATGGGTCAAGGCCCTTGGCCTCCCATAGGTTTTACCCTCTAATATAAATGTGCCCCCACCCCGCCCCAAACAACCTTTCTTCAAGTGATGGGTGGAAAGATTGCACGAGTTGGGACGCACAGTTGCATGCCAAATCCTCAGGACCATGGTGTCCAGTCATCCACTGGGTGACCCTCGTCCTCTGACATGGCTCATGTTCAGTATGGCTATAAGTTAACCTCTCCACAGCCTGCTCTTAGCTTCAGTGCTGCCTAGTAGCATTTCTGTTTCCCAAATGTCTCATCTCTCCCTCCTGAGTGGACTCTTACAATGCTTTAAGTCAGCCTTGGTTGCTCAGCTTATTGCATGATCCTTCAGGTCAGCTCATTCACATTGGCATTGGTTGGGTCTTCATAGCCTTCAGGATAAATTTTTGGCCTGGGATTGAAGGTCTCTGCCTCACCTCTCCAACCTGCAGGTCCTCATAAAGCCACTTCTGCTTCTTAACTAAAATAAAACCTCCTAGCTTTAAAGCACTAGGCTACCTATTCCATTCTTGGGGTGCCAGTTCTGTGCTCCACGACATACTGTTTTCAGAGCTCACTCCCAGAATGTCTCAATGCGGATGGGCCGGTGGGGAGTGTTGCGTGTCTAACCCATCTTCACTGACTCTTGTTTTGTAGCCGAGTCGTTCGTAAATCCATCGCCCGTGTTCTCACCGTCATTAACCAGACTCAGAAAGAAAACCTCAGAAAGTTCTACAAGGTGCGTCTTGGCCAAGGGCACGGGAAAGATGTGTTCTTGCTGGGGCGCATGGGACTGGCAGTGCTTGGGCTCTCCATGCTTTCCCAATTCATAGCTGAGCTTGCCCTCTTACCAGGGTTTTGAACTGGTATGTGGCACCATGGATTTCCTTGGGCTACAGATAATCAGTGGTGTGTTGGGAGCCTGGCTAGAGACTAGAGTTTTGAATCCAGCCTTCCCAGCTGAATGAGCTTGGGCAGTTTATAGGATTAACTGAAGGGGGGGGGTTGTTGTTGTTGTTGTTTTTTTTTTTTTGGAGACAGCCTCAAGCCATCCCCCTGGGTAGAGTGCTGTGGCATCACAGCTCACAGCAACCTCCAACTCCTGGACTCAAGCGAGTCTCCTGCCTCAGC